AACCATTTTGTCCTGGGTTTTTTCATTTCTGGATTTCAAAAGTTCTGTTAGAAGATACATACTACAAATGGTTTTATATTTGATCCCAAGACACACCCAGAACATAGGATATCCCTACAATTAAAAAAAAAAAAAAAGGCAGTACCATCAGGTGGTCTGGTGGTTAAGGCACTGGACTCCCACATGGCCAACTGCGGTTAGAGTCCTGGACCTAGCCACTTGCTTTCTCTGTCTCTCTCTGGTCAAATTGAAGAAGAACCATAAATAAAATTAAATAAATAATTCTTCTAAATTAAAAGAGAGAGAGAGAGTCCTTGCCTTTGCCTTCACCACCAGTGGATCTGGAAATAACCCCAGCAGTGTGTCTGAGTTAGAAGAATTTCCAGACCTGTCTGACTTGATTACCCAATAGCACATACCAAATTGAATGCTGAATGTTCTCCACATTGAAAGGTCCTGCCTAGGAGCAGAATAAAAGCCCTTAGATATTTTCCCAAGGGGGAGCCAGCAGAGTTGTGTTAGAGATACAGCCTCACTTCATAACAACATTCCCTCATTATCACCTCTCAAGTGCCTACCCATACTTGGGATGAAGTCTATGGTGGGGCACATAAAAAATGTATTTTATGCAAACCAAATCACATGGAAAAGGAAGAACATCACAGGCTTCTTAACATACCAAACTAATGGGGCTAGGAGGTGGCGTGGTGGTTGAGGGTGCTGGACTCCCATGTGGCCCACCATGGTTCAAGTCCTGGACCTGGTGGCTTGGTTTCTCACTCTCTCACTCTCACTCTCTCTCTCTCTGTTCCCCTCTGGTGAAATTAAAAATAAATAAAGCTAAATAAAATAATTCTTAAAAAAAAAACTAATCAAATCATTCTTTCAGGTTCTATTCCAAAATAACTTGTCTACCACACCCTTATTTGTATTTTAAACAAATAACTTCCTAAAAAAACAAAAGAACTCTTTCCGGCTTCTCTGGCAGGAATCAGAAGCACCGAGGTCCACTGCGGTCTAGACCACTGGTAAAATCCAGCTGTCAAAAAGGCACAGAGTAGGACAAGGGTAGAGACGACACTTGAGTCATCTACATTACAAACACGACCAGTCCCCTCTACAAGACTCTCCTGCTGCAGAATCGTGTTGCAGAATCATCTGAGGGGAGATGTTTTACATGACATTTTTTAAAAAAGGGTAAATACGGTCCCGATTTCCTCTCTGTCTCTTTAGCTTGCTTGCTCTTCTGGCATGGGATAATACAACACAAAGCCCTCGCCAATGCCAAGTCCATGCTCTTGGGCTTTCAGTCTCCAAAACAGAAAATAAGCTTCTTTTCTTTATAAATTACCCAGCCTGGTATTCTATTACAGCAACAGAAAAGAGATTAAGCCACTTCCTTAGCACACCTGTATGCCACATACCATCAATAAACACAGGGTCATCATTTCATCCCTCTTCATTACTCACTATGCTCTGTGATGATAGTATAAAATACTTGCTGGTAATGATACGCACACTATTATACAACGGAGAATTCCAGCCGGCCAAATGAGGACAATTCAAGAGTAAGGGAGGACCCTGCAGTTCATATCAACTCTTAGAAATCAAATGTAACAAATTGGAGTTTCTGAATAAATGCAGCTTTGAGGTTCCCACAGAAAAACGCATGCCACTTAAGACTCCTTCCTGTAATTGTGGCACATAATTGGCTTTGGGCTGTTTGTTCCGTTGCCTCCAACTGGAGCCCAGATCAGCAAGCTCCTGTGAAGCAATGTGTAAACTGGATTTTCTGTTAGTGGCCAAGTGAAAGTTCAGAACTGCACCAAACTTCCTCATAGAAGTTCAATGAATGTATCTGTTTGTACATGATAACCAAGCTCCCCCAGAAACGGTAAGACGCAGCACACACAAGGACAGAATCTCATCTTTACTACTATTCAGGCACATTGGAATGCGTTGTTCATGTGCATTATGTGTTGACACCCATAAGGAAGGTCAGTAACCCACACAGCTTTTACAACTGTAAAAGCTTTGTACTCAGTGTGAACCAAACTTCCTCATTGAAGGAAATACATTTGAAAAGTGTAAAAAGGATCAGATATATGTCTTTCTCTCAAGTTCCTAAATACTGCACAAACTTCTCTCAATGGAAATAAGGCTCAAAAATACCGATGTTTTGGGACCAGCAGTTAGCGTAATGGCTATATCGCTGGACTCCCACATAGTCGACCGCGGTTCGAGTCCTGGACCCAGTGGCTTAAATTCATGCTGGGTGCGTGTGCGTGCGTTCCCGAGAGGTGAATGGAGAAGGGATTGCGGCATGGCCATTCCCCCGGGGGGTGATTTCTCGCTCTCTATCTCTCTGTCTCTCTCTGTCAGGCGAGTGCATGCGCCCTATAGCAAAAACCTCTCCAAAAAAAAAAAAACGATGTTTTTAAAAATATTTAGGACCGGGGCTGGCAAATGGCATGGTGATTAAGAGCAATGAACTCCCACATGGCTGACAGTGGTTCAAGTCCCAGACTTGGAGGCTTGCTTTCTCACTTTCCCTCTATCTGTCTCTCTCTCACTCTGTCCCTCTCCAGTCAAATTAAGATGGATAAATAAATAAAGTGAAATAATTCTTAAAGAAAAAGAATAATAATATTTAAATATGTATATAAATATATATGTATATTTAGGACCAGTCCATGGCTTACTGGTTAAGGTGGCTGGATTTCACATGGCCAGCTATGTAGTTCAAGCTCCAGACCCAGTGTCTTGAGAAACACACCAGGTATATGTGTGTGTGTGTGTGTGTGTGTGTGTGTACATGTCCCAAATCCTGAAGCAGAGAGAAATGAAGGAGAAGGGATTATGGCATGATCATGCTCCTTAGCAGGGTGCTTTCCTGTCTCTCTCTCTCTCTCTCTCTCTCTGGCAAGCACATGCACCCTCTTCCAAATAAAGTTGTATAAATAACATACAATAACATATGCTCCTTTTATAAAGACATTAAAAATTATAAAATGGCAAAAAAGGAAAAAAAAAAAAAAAAAAGATTTTCAAAAAAGAAAAAAAAAAAAAAAAAAAGGAGTTTCTGGTAACCCTGCCAACTGAGGATGTAAATATTTTGATAAATTGGCCCAGCCCGTGGTGTGGTGGTTGGGGTGGCTGAATTCATATTGCGAACAGTGCGGTTCAAGTCCCAGACCCAGGGGCTTGAGAAACATACGAGGCACATGTACACATGTGCCCAAATACCTGAGGGGGAAATTGAGGAGAGATGTAGGCCATTCCCCCAAGAGGGAAAGGTGCTTTCTCACTTTCTCCCCCGCCTCTGCTGTTCCCCCAGTGAGCACACACATCCTATAGCAAATTATAAAAATAAAATGAGAAATAAATAAATATTTGGTATATATAGTTGCAGACGTTTCCTAAAAAAAAAAAAGAAGTTAAATTTGCTATTGGGTGTGTGTGCTTGCAAGAGGGAGAGAGAAAGAAAGTAAAAAAGCAACCCTAGGGGAATGGCCATGCCACAATCCCTTCTCCTCCATTCTCAGGATTTGTGGCATGCATGCAGACACACCCAGACTGTTTCTTAAGTCCCTAGGGTCCAGGACTCAAACCATGTAGCCAACCACATAGGATCCAGCCACCTTCACCACACTGCCAATAGCTGGCCCAAAAAGTAAAGATTCTTACCAATTTGTGGTGACCTACCTATCTACACTAAAGTTGGATTTCTTCAGCTCACTAGTGTGTACAGGCACAGGTGATTTTTAGAAGTCTATGTGCTTATCTTTATTAACACTATTTGTAAATCTTAACTCTACTAGCCCATTAAAAGTACTGCGTTTTCTTATATTCACTGACTAATCTAGTTTATTTTTACTGTTCAGTAAATGTCTAAAGCCAAAACTCTGTGCTAGCTAACTAGTTTGTTTTAAAACCACTAATGAAGTACTAAGATTTTAGTTCCAATTACACATAATGAAAAAACCAATTCTGTGATTTTTTTTTTTAAACCGAGGCAGCTTAAAATTTTTTATTCCAGTCTTCTACTCCTTCCCCAACCTAGTTGTTTCTTTCATCAAATAGTTTGGTTTTAAGACTAACTTCTTATTTAGTCAACAAATCTTTATAAATCATAGCACGATAAGGCATTCTGAGCACTTATTAAAAGACACGTAGAAGGGCCAGCAGGTGGCACAGTGGTTAAGGCAGTGGACTCCTATATGGTCAGCTGCAATTTGAGTCCTGGATCTGGTGGCTTGAAAATCCCACCAGGCACATGAGCAAGTATGCTTTAAAATTTCAGGAGAAGGGACTGTAATGGGGCCATCCCCCAGGGGGGTGATTTCTCACTGTCTCTCTGGCCCTATGGCAAAAATCTCAAAAAAAAAAAAAAAAAGACATGTAAAAATATTCATATAGGGATCAGCAGTTGGTATAATGGCTACATCACTGGACTCCCATATAGTCAACCATAGTTCAGTTCCCGGACCTGGTGGCTTAAAAAAACTCATGCCGGGTGCATATGCGTGTGTGCCCAAGATCCCGAGAGGAGAAGGGACTGCAGCGTGGCCACCCCCTCGGGGGTATTTCTCGCCTTCTGTCTCTGTCTCTGTCTTTCCAGTGAGCACACACACTCTATAGCAAAAACCTCTCCAAAAGAAAAAAAATGTCATAGAGAACTAAGTGAATTTAGTAAAGAGACTATGTTCAAAAGATGAGGATACCAGGGGACCAGCAGATGGCATAATGGTTATGTTGCTGGACTCCCACGTAGTTGACCGCAGCTTAAGTCCCAGACCCAACAGCTTAAACTCACACCAGGCTTGTGTATGTGCATGTACAGGTCCCAAGAGGAGAATGGAGAAGGAATTGTGCCGTGGCCATTCCCCCCGAGGTGTGATTTCTCGCTTTCTGTCTCCCTCTGTTTTTCCAGCAAGCGCACATGCCCTATAGCAAAAACCTCTTGTTAAAAAAAAAAAAAAAAAAAAAGGATACCTTACCTTATCCGAATAAATTGGAATATCATGAAATGGAGATATATATTGTCCTTTTTCATTTTCTGCAAAATAAATTAGAAAAAGTTACTACTGTGATTAAATTACCAAAGCATACATTTTTTTTTTTTTTTAATACCGAGATTTTATTGCTGTACCAGAAAAACTGGCTGTATATTTCACCTTTCCTGACTCTCCTCCAGGACTGGGTTTTTCATCCTATGCACTCTGTAAGCATCTAACCTCTTTAATGAGAGCAGGGACTGCCTTAGACACTCTGCATCCCCCGAGCACAGCAGTGCCCAGGACACGAAAGGTGATCAGATTGTTTTGGATTGATCCTACATTGATTAACAGTATACAGAACAATTATGAAATATTTGAGAAGGGAGGGAATCAATTTGCCAAATTAAACCATGTTGCTTTGGCCAACGTTCCAAGAAGACAGAGCCATCTTAGATTATGATTTTTCATAACGATAATCAAATTACAACAATAAGATCTCTGGACTACTCAAAAGTAACTTTTAAAGTTCTTCTTTAGGAAACCTAAGGATCTGCCTATGGTTCATCCCTTCAAGTTTAAAGTTTTAAGTTAAAGTAAGGCAAACCCTGTAGCCTAGCGGTTAAGGGAGCCAGATGCCACATGGCTGCTGAGTTTGAATCCCTACCCTGGTGGCTTGAAAGAAAAACATGCAGGCCATATGCGCAAGCCTGCCAAAAAAAAACTTATAGGAGAGAGAGATGAAGGAGAAGGAGATTATGGTGTGACCATGCCTCATCAGGAGGGGCTTTCTCCCTCTCTCTGTACGTGAATACGTGTACTCTCTGGCAACTTTTAAAAAATAAATAAAAATAAAAAAGCCAAATGGAATAGGAAAAACAGTGACCACACTCAGTTCCAAAAAACGTCCCTTCAGAGTCAACTGTGACTTTCTATCCTCCAGCCAATCCTTAACAGTTGTTTTTTTTCTTTTTCTTTCTTTCCTTTTTTTTTTTTTTTTTTTTTTAAATTTTGCCCAGAGGGTATATGTACTAATCGAAGAGACCCAGCAGAGAGAAAGCACCCCCTATGGGACATGGTCTAATCCTTTCTCCTCCGTTTCTCCTTTCTTCTGGGATTTTGGGCACGCACACAGATGGTGGCCCGCATATTTTTCAAGCGGTCAGGTCCAGCACTAGAGCCACACAGTAGGTCATGTGGGATCCAGCCGCCTTGACCACCACATCACAAGCTGGCCTCAACCTTTATGGGTTTTAAAGAGACTGACAAATTTAACCTTATAGGGGTCAGCCTAGTAGCACGGTGTTTAAGCACTGTGCAGAGGGAGCTGGATCCCATGTAGCCAACAGTGCTTTGAATCTCAGCAGATGAGAAATGGAGAAAAAAAGGATTCCGACATGACAGGCCGCACTGGGGAGTGCACACATGCCTTTTCTCCCTCTCATTTGCACATGCACCCTCTGGCATTTAAAAAAGAATTACAAAGGTAAAAAAATTTAACCGTTTCTGTTAATGCTAGGAAATCTGATTATTTTTAAAGAATGATTTTTATTTAACTTTTATTTAATATTATTATTTTCCAACTTGATCAGAGAGAGATAGAAAGAGAGAGAGAAAGTGAGAAAGCAAGCCACCAGGTCCAGGACCAAACCATGGTCGGCCATGTGGGAGCCCAACGCCTTTAACCACATCACCAGCGGGCCCTGGAAATCTGTGATTTTAAAAAAGCACTTAACGGGATCAGCAGTTGGAGTAATGGCTATGTCTCTGGACTCCCACGTAGTTGACCGTGGTTCAAGTTCCAGATCCAGCGGCTTAAACTCATGCCAGACACGTGTGCGTGCGTGCCCAAGATCCTGAGAGGAGAATGGAGGAGAAGGGATTGCAGCGAGGCCATTCCCCCACCCTAGACGGGGGGTGAGGGGGGTGGGAGGGTGCTGATTTCTTGCTTTCTGTCTCTCTGTCTCTCTCTTTCTGGCAAGTACATGAGCCCTACAGCAAAAATCTCTCTCAAAAAAAAAAAAAAAGAAAGAAAAAAAGCGCTTAACATTAGGTAACTACATGGTTGGTTCTAATTATTGGTGTTTATTAAGTTCCAAAGAGTTTCATTTGATGAGAAGTTACTTTAGCCAGTGCCAAAGTCAAGCAGTGGCTTTGGTCTCCCGCACTGGTCACAAAACACTCACTTCCAGTACATTAAGTTAAAAACTATGATTTTTATTCGGCACATACAGCTTGCAGACAATTATCCAAATGATTCTTTCAAACCAATTACCTCTCTAAGGCCCTCCTGTAGAGAAATTCTGGGGCCAACCCTGTGTCCAGAAAACCAGATCACTATTAGTCACTGATCCCTTGCAGCTTCATTCCCACCTTAAGTTCCTCGATTTCATCTGGTAGTTTTATCTTCAGCTAGATGTGTGAGGTTTTGGGTTTACTCTCCTTGTCCTCCCACACCTGGCTCTGTCCATTCCCTTAGGTATTTCCATTCATCCCCTCCACTAGTCCCCTCCCGGCCCTTCCATTCACCAACTCAGCCTTGAGGCACCTGCCCATTTCCTCCCGTTAAAGCTCTAAACAGCTTAAAATAGAAGCGCCTTTGGTGACACATTTTTTCAACGCCTCTGTTATCATCAATCATCTATTCCTAGTAGTGGCGGGGGCAGGCGTGTGTAAGAGGATAAACTCCAAGTAGCTTTCCTACACCTTCAAAGCAAACGGTGGTGCTTCAAGGAACGCGGAGCGCTGCCAGCCTGCAGTGCAGCTCTGGGTGCAGAGCTCGGGGGTGGGGATCCCGGGGACGCCGACTGCTGCACAAGAGTGAAAAGAAGGCGCTTTCTTACTCCTGCTTCCCAGATTGACGTCACCTGTTTGACTTGAGGGGACCAGCTTTCTGTTTCATAAGGCGCATTCCCTTCATCCGCACGCGGCAGGAGAGGCAAAAGCGCTCCCAGGATAGGTCTGGCCCTCCTTCTGGCGGCTCCCAATCTGGGCCTCAGTTTCCCCGTCTGTATGACGAGGGGGTGGACTTGGCCCAGCTCACAACCCACAATCTGGCGGCGGAATTAAGGTCTTTGGAAAGTCACTCCCGCCCCGTTCCTCTGAACTCAGCAATCCTCTTATAAGGATTACTTTACCTCCTGCATCGTTCTAGGGTGACTCAGTGGTTTCCTTCCCAAAAGACCCGGACCAGACACCTGCAAAACTAGCCCGGCCCAAGTTCGGGTCCCGCCGAGCGAACGAAAGCAGACTATTTCCTCCGGGTACCGAAAGATGGTCGGAGGCTGACCCAGGCCGTCCCGCTCGCCAGCTGGAAGTGTGAAATGTCAGGACCAGCCAGGGCCCGGGGGGGACCTTTAAATTCTGCATTGAAAGCAAACTCATTTTCTGGTTTTCCATCAGGAACCTTGTACCTTCTAAACCAGTCCACAGTAGCTTCTAGGTAGCCAGGTTTCAGGCGTTTCACATCATTAATATCGTTATAATTGGCGGCATCAGGATCCTCCACATTAATGGCAATGACTTTCCAGTCGGTTTCCCCTTCGTCAATCATGGCCAGTATGCCCAGAACTTTCACCCCAATGATTTCACCTCTTGCACAAACCTTGCTTCCAATTTCACACACATCAATCGGGTCATTGTCGCCACAACAGCCAGTATGCTTGTCATTGTGTCCTGGATCTTCCCAAGTCTGAGGAATGGCACCATAGTTCCAGATGTATCCTTTATAAGGAAACAAATTCGCAACATAGCGGAGTTTTCCTTTTTTCACATCTTGTTTAATTGGGTTTAAAGGATCCTTTGTAGCAATCTCCATTTTTGCATTAGACCAACGTGGCACTTCAACCACCATGTGGAACACATCCTTATCTGAATAAATTGGAATATCATGAAATGGAGATATATATTGTCCTTTTTCATTTTTGAGGAAGACTCGGTACTCCAGGGAGAAGGGCGCGGCGCGCTCCTCGCAGCTGAAGCCGCTCATGGTGCCGAAGACTAGCCGCCGCGCTGCCACCCAGACACCGGCCCGCACTCCGCGCCGACTGACAAGGAGCTCAACTAGTTGTTTTTAAAGTTACCTTAGCCAGCTCATGGGAAAAGTTAAGTTTCTTTTGACAAATAGTGCTGGAAAAATATATGAAAAAAAAAAATCAATCTTTACCCCATCTCATATCACACTAAAATTAATTAAGCTTAATTGTAGCCATAAATATAAAATAGAGGCTATTAAGCTTCTATAGCGAAATATAGAAGAATATTTACATACTTTTAGAAAATGAGTGAGAATTTATTAGAAGACTAAAAAAAAGGACTAAACATAAAAGAAATTGGAAAATTAGACTTCATCAAAATCAACACTCTGTTCAATTAAACACAGCATTTACAAAATGAGGATATAAGCAATAATCTGGTCAAAGGTATTTTCAATACACACATCTGACAAAAGGTCTTGTATCTGGAATGTGTGAAGAACTACAAATCAGTAACGAAAAGACAAGTGGTCCAGCAAAAAAGGACAGAGGACTTTAATAGACACTTCTCTAAAGAAGATATTCCAATGGCTGAAAAATGTCACATGAAAAAGTTGCCTACCTCATTAACCAGAGAAATAAAAATTAAATCCACAGTGTGATACAACTACATACTCACAGGAATCACTAACATTAAAAAGACTAACCCCAAATGTGACCTAGGATCTGGTATAATCAGGACTCTTACACATTGATGGTAAAGGTATAAAATGGTACAACCATTTTGAAAATCTATGACTCAACTATGTTTCCCATAGATATTTATCTAGGAAAAGTGAAAATATATAGGGACCAGCAGATGGTGAAATGGCTGCATCACTGGACGCCCATGTAGTCGACCACAGTTCGAGTCCCAGACCTGGTGGCTTAAACTCACATTGGGCACATGTGCGTGCATGCCTAAGATCCCGAGAGGAGAATGGAGGAGAAGGGATTGCAGCATGGCCATCCCCCCCATCCCAGAGGGGGGGTGATTTCTTGCTTTCTGTCTCTCTCTGTTTTTCTGGCGAGCTCACATGCCCTCTAGCAAAAACCTCTCCAAAAAAAAAAAGAAAGAAAGAAAGAAAGAAAAAAAGAAAGAAAGAAAGAAAGAAAGAAAGAAAGAAAGAAAGAGAAAGAAAGAAAAAGAAAGAAAGAAAGAGAGAAAGAAAGAAAGAAAGAGAAAAGATATACCTTTATTATGTTTTGTATGAGAATGTTTACAGCAGATTTTTTCATGAGCCCCAAACTGGGAAAAACTCAAGTGTTTACCAGAAGACCAAACAAACAAACTTTGTACACCTATACCACAGAATAGTACTTAAAAAAAAAAATCCGTTGGGGCCAGCTGGTGGCATAGTGATTATGGTACTATACTCCCACATGGCTGACCATGGTTTGAGACCCAGACCCAGAGATTTGAAAATCACACTGGGCTCATGTGTGTGCATGCCCAAAATCCCAGGAGGGGAATGGAGGAGAAAGGATTACAGCATGGCCATCTCCCTTACGGAGTGATTTCTCACTTTCCTTCTCACTGTCTCTCTGGTGAGTACATGTGCCCTATGCCAAAAACCTTAAAATAAAGAGTTGTGGTGGTAAAAATATAACACAGAATTTACTATTTTAAGTGTCTAGTGGCACATTGTTCTGCAGTCATCACCATAGTTCATCTCCAAATTTTTTTCATCTTCCCAAACTAAAACCCTTTACCCTAAACTCTAGTTGGAATATGAACCTCAAAGTTTCGTATATTCAGCCATGGTAATGGTATTAAGAGGGTGACAACTTGATCTTCCCAAAGGAAGAGATCAGTGATTTGGCAATTAGGGCAGGGCCACCATGGTCAATCAAGCTCTGGTGTGTATAAGAGAGGAAATGAGGCAGGTAGACTCACAGAGATACAGACCCCGCTGTGCTCTACTTAAGATCCCTCACCGTAAGTTGAGCCATGGCCCCTGGACCTCCAAACAATTATTTGAATACCTCTATATTCCTTTATAAAAAGGAACTACTTCATTCTGGGATTTTCTGCTAGCAATACAATAAGCCACCTCTATTCTCCCCTCTCCCCCTTCCCTGGTAATACCCATTCTGCTTTCTGTATCCATACACATTTGACTATTCTAGGTATGAGGACTTTTTTTTGAGCAAGAAAAAACATTTCATATTTCGGTAGGAGCGCGTGTGTTGCATGGGAGTATGTATTTGCCAAAACAGATTGATTCGAACGTTTAAGATCCTTCTATTTTATTGTATGTGAATTATATGATTAGATAAAGAACCAACAGTAAGGCAAAGGACTTGTCTTCAACTTCCTCATGGTCTGGTGGCAGGGCCAGATATACCACCTGCTAAAACTGCATCTTAAGAAAAGCTTCCCTTCCCACACCTGTTACTGAGGGTACAGTGCCTATTCCATGGGACATGACCCACCCCTCTGCCTGGTAACACTGGCAGTCACCCTCCTTATGCTTCGTCCTCCAACTGTACTGAGGAGGCAGTTAGTAGGGACATTCTGGTTGGAAGTCTGCCAGTCAGACCACCAGGGAGAGCTCCATATGCCATGTTTAGGGACTTGCTCTTTATCTTACATTTGGTAGTTAGAGGAGCCTCTATAAGGAGATTTCCTTTTCTTTCTTTCTTTCTTTTTTTTTTTTTTATTTCATTTAGGGCACATGTGCTTGCCAGAAGTATGGGACAATGAGAAAACACCCCCCAACAGGGATGGCTGTGCTGCAATCCCTTATCATCCATTCATCCCTCAGATTTGGGACACACCTGCACCTGGCATGATTTTCAAAGCTGTTGGGTCTGGGACTCAAACTGTATAGCCCATTACATAGGATCCAGCACCTTAACCTCCACCCCACCTGCTGGCTCACCAATAGGAGGTCTTAAAAAGTCACGAGTTTTCTCTGGCAGGCGCACATGCCCTACAGTGAAAATCTCTCCAAAAAAAAAAAAAAAAAAAAACCAGGGTTTTAAAAAAGTCACGAGTTTTCAGAATGTTTTATTTTTTTTTTTAAGAGGTTTTTGCTATAGGGCGCATATGCTCTCCAGAAAGACAGAGAGACAGAGACAGAAAGCGAGAAATCACCCCCCAGGGGGATGACCATGCCACAATCCCTTCTCCTCCATTCTCCCATTCTCTTCTCAGGATCTTGGGCACACATGCATACGTGCCTGGCATGAGTTTAAGCCACCAGGTCCGGGACTTCAACCATGGGAATCCAGCAACATAGCCATTACACCAACTGCTGGTCTCGAGAAAGTTCTTTTTTGATCACAGTGACCTACAATCCTCCTTTACCAGCAATGTCTGTGTCCACCACGATGCTTCTAGTTGGTGAACTAATTGCAGATTTTCCTTAAACATGTGGACTCCTAGAGCTGCAGGCACAGTCATAAAGTGGGGTGTGCCTTAGTATATCCTCTAAACCAGTAGTCCATAATCTTACCAGCTCCAGAGACAGTCCTCATGGAAGAGAGTTCCTCCATGAAGGGGGCCTGGTTCTGGGATGACCCACCTGTACCACAGCCACCATGGGCCTCATTTCCACCACTACTCCGTATTGCAATATACGATGAAACAATCACACAACAGTAGTGCTCACACTCCTGAGAATCCAGGGAGACCACTGACAGGGCAGGCAGCAGAGCCTGAGCAGTAACATGAGTGATGGGAGCAGCTGTGAACACACAGGAAGCCTCACTTACTCACCCCCTGTCCAGCTCCTCCTGCACAGGGCATAGGGGTTGGAGATCTCTGTCCTAGACAATAAGAGAGGACCTTCACCCACATGTCAGACTAGAATCTATTTTCCAAGCTTGCTTTCATGTAGTGCTAAGAAGGGATTGGAGCTCTAAGATTCTGTCTCTGTTGCTCTAACCGTGTCAGAGCAAATGTCTTTGAGAGTTTGGTCAGCAAAACTTTGTTTTGAAAGTTTGTATTATTTGAAATGTAGAGAGCCCCAACCTCTACCAGGAAATATAAGACATATAATTAACACACATTAGTGAAAGACAAGATAGTCAAAGGCAACAATCGCTGTAATATTAAGACAGCTATTATTACTGTTTTTATTGTATAATGTTATACAATTAACTTCTTTTTAAAAAAAATTGTTTTTATGGTATAGGACAAGTCCACTTGTGAGAGACAGAGAAAGAAAGGGAAAGTGAGAAAGCACCCTCGGGAGGATGACCATGCCGCAATCACTTCTCCTCGAGATCTGGGGCACATGCTCACATATGCCTGACATGTTTTTCAAACTACTGGATCCAGAACTCCAATTATGCAGTTGGCAGTGTGGGATCCAGCTGTCTTAACCTCCATGCCATTTGCTCCTAGCCTGACTTCTTTCTTGATAATAGACATTGGCTCAGGTTTATTCTGGACTACATGGGATTTTTTGTTGTTGTTGTTGTTGTTTTGTTTTTGACTGTTTTAAAATTGCCAAAGGCCATGGGAACTTACCAGAGAGAAAGAGAGACACAGAAAGAGGAAAGAGTACTCTCCCATGGGGCGTGGTCACATCATAATCCCCTCTCTTTATTCCTCCATAGGTTGAGATTTTGACTGGCAAACTTTGTGTGTACTATCATCCTGATAATTATATAATTTATGATGATTAATTTATAAGCACATATGCCCAGCATGTTTTTCGAGTCACTGAAGCCAGGATTCAAACCACAGTTGGTTATGTGGGATCCAGCTCTCTTAACCACGAGTCTACAGAACTAGCCCCTTGGGAAATTTTTGTATGTGCAATTTTTAGTATTCTATGAAATTGCAACATGACTTAGCAAATTGCATGAGGGAAATTGTATTTATCAGTAGGAACAAAATGATAATATGCTTTGACATTCTTCAAACTGAAACTGATATAGAAATACAAAAAAAAATACCACTTTTGAGCATGGCAAGCATTTATAAATAAGTGACTATATGAAAAACAAAACACATGTTCCCAAGGCTGGAATGACTGAGGCAGGCATTTGTACAAAGAGCTAACTGAATTTTAAAAGCATT